AATTTTGAGACAGAGTCTTACACTGTTGCCCAGGCTAGGGTACTGTGGCATCAGCCTAGCTCACAGCAACCTCATACTCCAAGGCTCAAGCCATCCTCCTGCCTCAGCCTCCCAAGTAGCTGTTACTACAGGTGCCTGGCACAATACCTGGCTAATTTTTCTGTTTTTAATAGAGATAGGCTCTTGCTCAGGCTGGTCTTGAACTCCTGAGCTCAAGGGATCCTCCCACCTTGGCCTCCCAGAGTCCTAGGATTATAGGTGTGAGCCCTTATCTGACTCAAAGAACTTTCGATAGTCCTCATACCTGTATACTTTCTATTCTACTGCTGCTAATTCCGGTTTTTATTTTCTGTTGGAAATTTTAATACGATCTCCTTAACCAGCTTTCTTCGTCATTATTTTTCTTTCTAATGTGTGGTAAACATTCTTGGTTTAAGGTTAATCTTCCTAAAGCACTGAAGTTGTTTTGTAATCCTTTTATTACAGTGCCCTAACTGGATATACCTATTTTGTTTCCAAATGTCGGCTCCTAGTTCTGTCTGTTATAATAAAGCATTGTCTTTAAGAGAATATATTTTACCACAGCAGTAAAGTTAAAAAGTGGTTTTATTATTTAAATTATATTGAGTAAATACCTATTGTTTTCTGATTAAAGTTCATGGTTCTGGGGTATATTATGATCAAAAGAAAAAAAATACAGATTTGTTTATAGAAGCAAATGAAACATGGACTTGGTTTCTTAACAGATCAAACCTCAATAGGAATCCAACAATTTTTTTTCCCATCCAACAATTTCAGCTTCTCACAGTTTAAAAACAAGAACATTACAGAATGCCCCAGAGTTTAAAGCAAATTATGAGGTCTGACAGTTAAGTTCCTGAACTCACCTTAGGAAAAGTGCTGCACACCCCATTGCTGAGTGTCACCATAGTCACCTTTTTAAAGTCTTCCCTTGGGAAGCCATGCTCCGACACCAGCACCTGTTCCACCTTTCAAAGCAGCTTTGGAACTCTTTTTTTGGAATGGCCATCAGAGCTGTCATCATATTTATCCTTGATGTTCTGAATGTCATCACAATGTCTTCCTTTTCAGTATTTTCTTTATCTTTGAGTTAAAAAAAGTCACTGGGGCCAGATCGGAGTAGGGAGGTGTTCCAATGCAGTTACTTGTTCATTGGCCAAAACTTTACACACAGAACCGTGAGTTTTTGGCCAAGATTTGCATTTAAGATTTTCCTATTTCTCTATCCAGTGTTTACTTGGTCTGCTATGCTTCTCACAGTCAGCCAATGATTTGGACACATAGTTCAATGAATTTTTGCAATGTCTTCATCAATTCTGCTCGTTACTGGCTGCCTTGACCTTTCTTTATCAGAGATGCTTTCTTTCCCCTCAGAAAATGTTTATTTATTTGTACACTGTCATTTTCTTCATGGTATTATCTCCATAAACTTGGATTGACATGTCCCTGGTTACACTTTTTTTAGCAAGAAATTCATGAATGTTTGTTTGTTGTTACAATTCAAGCTCCAACATTCTTTTAGTGGCACACAAAAACAGGCAACAACAATAGTGAGTGCCACTTGGTAAGACACTGCCACGTATGGACATGAACACAGCTGTGAGATACTGAGGTAGTAAAGTTATGAAACTAACCAGCTGTTTATACAGTACTGCTAGTGTAAACACACAGTGACAAGTTCGCAAATTTAATTGTCAAGGCTGTACATATAGACTGTCTACCCTTTATTGGTGAAAAAACATTTACCATATGCCAGAGTTTTCAGGAATATATGAATTTCATGTTTTGCTACAAGCCTCCATAGTCCCATTCTCTTTCCCAGTTTCTGTCAGTTAACAAAAACATCACCCTAAGTCAACTTTATACAAAAATGTCCTGGAGCACTTACAGAGTTTATGGCTTTCCTCTGCATCAGAACTGCTACTGTACTCTTGTTTGATGAGCTATATTTTGCTGGTGATCTAGACAGTAAATGAAAGTTGCATATTTAGTTTCAAAAGTATCTTTTAAGAGATACATTAAAATTTAGATTCTTGGCTCGGCGCCTATAGCTCAACCGGCTAAGGCGCCAGCCACGTACACCTAAGGTGGCGGGTTCAAATCCCCAGCCCGGACCCGCCAAACAAC